CAGTTTAAAAGCCAGTATTCATGATGGTACAGGGGTTCATTAATGCAAATGACATGGGTGACTTGCACATCTGTGAAGGCACCATTGATGCTATACAGGTTTTGGCAAAATATGCTGCCATCAAGATTATGTCTTTTTCAGGGAAGGCCCTGCTTATTTCAGCAAGACAATGTCAAAGCACATTCTTCACATATTGTAAAAGAGTCCAGGCGCTAAACTGACCTGTCTGCAGTCCAGACCTGACAGCCATTGAAAACTCTTGGCACATTATGAAACGAAAAATAGGACAAAGAAGACCCTGAACCAAAAAGCAGCTGAAATGGTATAGAACAGGAAAACAACAATGTGTATGCCTACTACTCACACCCACTAGCAAATACGTACACACACACATATAAACACATTCAGTACTGTGCAAAATCAGAGACCACTCCTCATTTATTTAACTTCGTCAAAATGGCCATTAAGTACAAGTAATTCATTTTTCATGAGATATTTTTGAAGAGATTAGATATAATATAATCCTCTTGCATAAGGAAGGGGGATGGTAACTTACTTAAAGCTTTCATCTTTGAGGTAAGGGAGGAAATCAAGCCCCACTCTTGCTTTAGTACTAAAAAAAATCCACAGTTGTTTCTGTCCATTCTTCCACTGTGAGAAGACCTCAACATTATGAGTCTGAAAGGATGCGTAGCTGTCAAGAAGCTGCTGGTTTTCTCAGAACAATGGACTGACCACCCCAGACTCCAGACCTCAACATCACTGAGCGTGTTTTGGTCATCATCAAGACTGACCTTCGGATGTGTGGAAAAATATCCCTGCAGATATCTATGAAAACTGAAAGCAAGTCTCCTGAAAGGAATGGAGGATGTAATAAGACCGAAGGATGGACAAAGTAACCTCTTACTGAGGTTACTGAGGTTATTGAGGCTTCTGTGTAAGTCTCTGTAGAATGTTTTCTGACACTTAAAAATGAATACCTTGTAATTAATGGTGAACTGGAAATGAAATAAATGAAGGGTGATCTCTGACTTTTGCACGGTAATGTAAAGCCTCACCTTCTCTAACACACATTTTCAAAAAAAACTTTCACTGTCTCTCTACACTTTTCATAAAAGGGTGTAGAGGGTCAGTGAAGGAGGACCTTGCAAGTTCTTGAAGATCTTTTTTTTTTCCACTACTGAAGTTCACATGCACGCACACACACACACTTGCACACATGCATCAAAAGCCGCTGTGTTAAGGGCAGCTCAGGTGTCGGTTGAAGCCTGCAAAAGTGCTGCTGGGGTTTTGGGCTGAGATGAGAGAGGAGTTAGCCATGCTGAGAGAAAAACACACACATTCCCTGCAGTTCTTTGCTGCATACTTGGTCAAAAACTTACATGATTTATTTCGTTTTTTATATTCCAAACCACACATCGCTTATTCAAACACTGGATTATGTAAACAATACCAATATGATTTTATGTATCAGTATATTCAAGTACCCACACCTGTCCTTACTATATAGATCATTCTTCCAAAGTACACCTTATAATAGCTGAATTCACTAGTCTGGATACTTTTAGCCATATGTGTGAATCATTCATGGATCATACTGTACTGGTTCAAAACGCAAACTTTTAACCGACAGACTCAGCTGACTAATTTTTTTTGCTTTAAGTGACCCTATACCTTAGTTATGTTGATGTTATTAAGATAAATGATGAACATTTCTGTTCCCTATAACAGTGTTTTATATAGTGCTCTAATGTAGGGAATAGTGATTAGGGGACTATTTCTGTTCCCTATAACAGTGTTCTATATGGTGCTCTAATGTAGGGAATAGTAATAAGGGGATTATTTGTGGTCCCTATAACAGTGTTCTATATAGTGCTCTAATGTATTATAATTGTATATAATGTATAATAGTGATTAGGGGATTGTTGATTTTCAAGGTAGGTTGTGGTTGGCCTTCTCCAAACATATCCTGGCCTGTGATTGGTTGAGATGTATTGTGGTTGGGTTGTAATTTTATCTGCCGTGTGATTGATTGTAATTGGGTTATTATGTTACCTGGGTTATGATTGGTGTTTTTGTCAATCATGTCCTAGCATGTGACTGGTTGGGTATGTTTTATAATACCCTTCACTCACTTCCCGGCATGTGAGGTTATAACTGTTACTACTGAATGCTACTTGAGTTTAGCTTGGTGCTCTTCATTCATGTACTGGCCTCTGACTCATTGCAGATAACTATTACGGCACACCAAAGCCACCGGCGGAGCCCAACGCTCTGCTGCTGAACTTCCCAGGCTCCGCCCCCGACACAGACGGCAAACGCAGACGCAACAAATCCGTCAGCAACATGGAGAAGGCAGGGATTGACCCTCCGGAGGAGGAAGAAGAGGAGAGGCCTGTCGTCAATGGCAACGGAATCACCATCACACCAGGTAAGGAGATGCTGAAGTGATTGGAAAGAGAGAAAGTGAGCAAGTGAAAGCAAAGGACAAGGAGAGAGG